TATTATTAATGTATCTGCTGCACATTTTTATTTCTAAATATGTTTTATAATAATACATTATTCTTAATGTGTTATCTTGTGTTGTGTGTGTGCACCTATGGTGTGCTCCAATAAACCAAAGTAAATTCACTGTGTGTGATAACCTACTTGGCAAAAGTCTGCTTCTGATTCTAATAGATAGCTAATATCTCAGCTGATATATAGACAGAGAGATGGACAGAGACAATAAGAAGGTACAATTATGCAGCTTGCACAGGATAATATAATAATTCAGCATGCACAGGATAATATAATAATACAGCATGCACAGGATTTAATCCGTTTTTTCTCCTTTGATGTGGAATGGAAACCCCAAGTGGAAAACACCTGCTGCAACACCACAGTCTGATTAGCATTTAAAGTTAAGCTAGCCGGAAGTACGACTTTTTGGCAATATTCAACCCATAGAAAGCTACATTTTGTAACACTTTAACCTACATAAATTACTATTATGTAGACTTAAATCTGCATTAAACAATTTTGAGGTCTAAAAACTCGCTCCGAAACAAACAGTATTAACTTGACAACCATTGAGAGTTGTTAGCCGTATGGCATTGCTATGGCTAACGTGCTAGCAGAGAGATAGCTTAGCTAGTTACTTAGCTAACCTAACATGTTGGGGCGCAGTGCTTCTAAAAGATACATAACAATGTCACTGACCTTTAAACTCTGGCTTGTCCACTTTTAAATGGTAGCAATTAATAAAATAAGATCTTATTGAAAGTAGGCAAAAGCAGATACAGTAGGTAGACACTGACTGTCCTCCCTCTCACAGTGTCAACCCCTCATCATCATAGTCCCTTCTTTACCACAGTAAACATCCTCATCACCCCTGCATGTGGCAGGTTTTCCAGGGACAGTAAATCCTCTGCAGCTTGTCCTTGTTAACCTGACAGTGGTTTTCCGGTCTGTCTGCCATCCAGCTGTGAAGGCTTGGCCTAGGGGCCAGCCCTGTTACCTTGGTGACAGTGAAGCTGACCACCCACCATTCCAAGCATCACTTTCACCCTTTGCTGTAGACAGGGATGTAAAGTAGATGTAGCTACTTAAGTACTGTACTTAAGAACAATTTTGAGGGCATTGTACCTTACTTAAGTATTTTTATTATTTTGAGTTTGTTGTGGCATAAGCTCATGGCAACTCAAGAGACTCAAGAAATGTATCTATGAACTTTGTTAATATAATAAAGAAAAGCAATTACCAGTAGCCTATTGTTATCTCAACAATATACACAATAAGGCTGATTGTTTTTGGGTAAAACACTTCATGTACTCAGTTGATCATATATTTAAGGTAATAGGATATTGTAATATAATTATTCTTTATAGGCCTACATTGGAAAGCAGCTCAAACATTTAAAACCAAAATCAGTTTAACATTGGTCACACCCAAAATCCCCCAAATATCTCTCTTACCAGATACAAAGTATAATCTCAAACATAGCTTTTAATATAGACAAATGGATTTCTGCAGATTGAGGGAGTGGACTTTAAGGCAAATTCAGGCCTACAGCCGCTCAACGTGATAATGATCAGCATCATTCATCAGGAGCACCGATGTGTCCAACCAGACGCAGCACTGCTTGTGAGTGTCTGTCTCTGTTGACCTGCGGTGCTTCACTCTCTTCCCACCCCCACTCCAACCAGGGTTGCTTAGCGACCATAGAGCAGCCTATGGAGAACACACGCGCGCGCGCACACACACACACACACACACACACACACACACACACACACACACACACACACACACGCACACACACACACACACACACACACACACACACACACACACACACACACACACAGACACACACTTGGAAAACCCGGGAACTCTGAAGGAGGAAGATAATGTACTGGCACTCCACCCCTCCATCATGCTCTGTGACCCTCAAAATGTGAAAAGAAACAGCCGACCCTGCTGTCTGCTGGAGGAGATTCAACTCAGTAACCGTGGCCCAGTGACTACTTCTCATGCCTTGGATACACACTAAGGATGAAATGATATGGAGGTTTAATCGCAGATTGAAAATACTGGAATTATCATGTAAAAAACAAAACAACTCACACATTTTGTTATTTAGGCAGGCAGGAAGGTGATGATTTATTATTACCTTATTTAAGATTGTTTATTTATTCTTCAATAAAAACATTGTGTCCGTTCTATGACGAAATAAAAGTGTATGTTCCTTAGCAGAATTTAAGGTTTGTTTTGTATGTTTTAGTGCTGTTTGAAGAGTTGTAGGCCTATTTTGATTTATATTGCAATATTGTCAATCGCTTGAATCGAAATGCTCATATCTTCTCATGACTAAATATGTATGTACACATTAAGTCCATTGCCATAGTAAAAAGCTATCCTTGCACTCGTACAGCACAAGCATGTAATAGAATAGTGAAACAATCAGCCTCTTTGACAAAAAGCCCTTGTTATCACGTCATATCTACATCCAGAACCTCGCTTTACATTTTGTAATTGTGACTGATCACCGATGGATATAAGCCTGCAGCAATGAAATCAGCTTCCCCACAGACAAAGGACTTGAAAAGGGGAAAGTTAGAAGCTCAGCAGCGTCTCCCCAGTCTAACACTATTAGCACATTAAGCAAGTGCTTAAATACAGTCAGCAGACGATGGATCAACGCAGTGCCCTGAGCGGGAGACAGCTCTGTAATCCCCTAAAGGGGGTTTCACTGCAGTAATGGCAACCAGTATGAAACCACAGCCTCTGGGGAGTAGTGGGACTGGGTAGATTATGAGCAGCCTTCAGGCGACGCAAACCCCTTATAGCCCTGACACACATACACACACACACTCACACACACACACACACACACACACACACACACACACACACACACAAAAAGAAACAGGTAAGTGTACACACCTAAAACTATAACATCCATGAGGAAACACACTTTAGCATGCTGGAACATGGAAAATATAAAGACAAAGCTGTGTGTATACAAACAGAATATCCAAGAGTGTAACCTGACTGATTCCATTTACATCTCATCCAAGGAGGGGTTCCATCTTTGTTTATGTCTGTATGACACATTTGGGGAGAAGGGTGCAGTAACTAGGATGTCATTTTACTCCTGGATTATGGGATGGTGATGGAATGACTTTTTTGGCCGAGGGCAAGTAGATGGCAGGAGGTTGAGAGTGTTATTATTTCTGGTAAATTAAAGCAGCAGCCTCGGGGGCAAGAGAAATACACCAAAACATAAAAGGCAAAGGGCACATTATAGCCTGATCCCTGCTGTGAAACACAATGAAAACACTGTGGTCAGGTGGTGATAAAACACTGTGAGTACGTGGTTAGATGACAGTTATTGTTTCATGCCGACTGTGAAAACAAACAGAAAGGTTGAATTTATACCAAATCAAATCACTGTGGAGCTATTATAAATGGGCAAAATGAATACATCTGGTTTTACCAAGTCCCAGAAGGGCAAAACTGTGGGTAAATCAGCAAAAAATAAATGAGTGGGGCTACAGTAATACATATTTTTATTGTTGATTATTTTCTCAATTGATCGTTTAGAGGTTTTGTCTGTATAATGCCAGAAAATAATGAAAGTGTTGACAGAAATCCCAAGATGATGTATAGTCAGATATTTAGTGTACTGACCAATAAATCAATTATTAAAATAGTTGGTGAATAATTTAGTAATTGACATACAACATACCTTTATATATACTTTTACAGACCTTTTTCGCGTTGTTGTGTAGACTTTCCAGACTGTGCTCAACTGTTCATTTGTTGCCCCCCAGAGAAAAGCTGCTTAGAGCGGAAAGGAGATTACATATAACCAAATATACAAAACACTGCAAAGCCTATTTCACCCCTGCCTATGAAAACATAAACAAACACCTATTTTGAGACCCGAGTCTGCATATAGATTTGGGTATAAATCTGACCCGACGCTTTAATCCGCACATAAATACAGTACTTACTTACAGTATTTTCTCTTAAATGGTCTGTAAGAGCCTGAAGCTTTACTTAGAGGGGATTCAATCCTCTCACATTAACAGTAGTTCAATCACTCTCACACACACCGCCTTGATCCAATCCATACATTCATATATAATAATATAAACCTCTATAAGCAAGACCTGTAACCATTCACAGAGCAAGTGGTTGGCCTCTGGCTCTCAAAACAGTTGAATTTGTATAACTATGTCTATAAAACCCAGAGGGAGAGACAGACACAGGTGACCTTTGGGGGAGGGGAGGTCACCGGATGAGGTCACTGAATGTAATCTTTAAATGACCAAAGCAAGGACTCAGCCGCCTAGGGAATACATGGCTGCAGCTCGGCCACGCTCAGCCGTTGAGTGTGTGAGAGACAAGAGTGAGTGAGAGACAGAGACAAATGTCTCATTAACCTCCACACATCCCACATGCTCAATGCATCTTTATGTAGGCCTTAGTGTGAGTGATCGGGCACAAACCCAGTCTTCATTCATTCATCTGTGTAAAAACACTTTTTGTAGATCAGATGAAGCAATTTGAGTCTTCCGCACTCTGAGACAATGAAACCAAGCAAGTAGGTACCTACCAAAGTTAGTGACTTTAGCATCAATGTAATGTATTGTTTGTGTAACTACCCCTTTAATGCATCTCACAAAGGAAACATTGCCTATATAGTGGATACATGTCATAACAAAACTAGAAGAACTTTAGTGGATATGAAGTTATTTAACTCATATAAGTTTCAGTTGATTAAAAAAGCAAAAACAAAAAAATAAGACGGTGGATTTTGGAACCATCACTCAAATGAAATTAAATGAGAGAAATGTTTTAGAGCTGATGTGGAGGTGAGGACTTTTCAAACATAGAGGCATGAGCATATTGTTAATATGACAAACTGTAAATCTTTAACATTAAACAAAGACGGACAGAAGGAAAAACAATGTGTTGGATACTTTTAAGGACTATTGTTAAAAAAGGACTAATCTGCGTAACTGCAGAACAACTTTTTCCTACACTAAAATACAAGCCAATTCCAGGCTTGAAATTGAGTTTTTCTGCAGGTTAACACAAGGACCAAAAGACTCATGTACTCACATTTAGATTTTGCATTGTAAGCACATGCCATGAGAGGGATGGCATGATGACATAACTGCATACATCAGGGAAAAATATCTGCAAATATAGGGCACATGGTGAAACATGCTGACAGCAACACTTTTATCAAAAATCTATTTGCAATGATGTCCAAATCCATTTAGAGGCATCCTTTGTATGTTGCCCCTGCCCCCTGGTGTCTGGAAAATAATGGTGCAACAACAGGAGATGGTACTGAACAAGGCAATATTTGACAGACGTACAATATTTTATTTCACTTTGCAAGAACAGGGTGGGAAACTATAGCTTCTTTAACAACATGAACTTTCCATTTTATACCACATGGAGATGGGGATACATACAGTAAGCACCATTTTGAAGGAACAGACATGCTATCCTACGTTTGCATGCCACGTGTCTAAATCTAATACCAACTACTTTTTTATTAGCGGTGTGAAAAACATTAGTTTGTAGATCATTCAGTTCGTAATGAACAGGTGCTTGGGTCTGTATAGTTACTTTTCAATGAGAAGAAAAGCATCATTGTAAGATCGTGTCATCTTTGAGAAGGTTTTTTCTTTACATCAATAGATATTTCATCATATTTTCATGGATGATTATATCCATCCATTTAATACACCTAATACAAAGCTTTCCTTTTGAGTGTGACCCATAATTATGAGATTGAATCATAATATAAAATAAAGACACTCAAAATGTATTTTGACCATGTATTAAATAAATATAATACAATTTGATGGTGTTTTTTTTTTTTCAAGTATGAAAAAACCCGAATCCTTGAATGGGGAAATAGGCGGATAGGCAACTGTGAAAGAAGAAAATAAAGTGCAGAGCCATCACTTTTTAAACGTTTTCAAATGGGATTAGGGGCTATTTCTGGCTCCTGCTGTTCGTCCATGTAGTAGGGGTCTCCTTGGTGGACTCTGTGATTGTGCACCCTCAGGTTCCCCCTGTGGGCAAATCTCTTCCCACACTCTGTACAAGCAAAGGGTCTCTTCCCCATGTGAACGTCCCGTTGGTGGGCTCTCAGGTTCCCACTGCGGGCAAAACGTTTCCCGCACTGGGCGCAGCCGAAAGGCCGCTCCCCTGTGTGTGTGCGAGTGTGCACAGTCAGCTCAGAGGGGGTGAGGAAACTCTTGTCACAAAACTGACAAGGATGCAGTCTTACTCCTGTGTGGCGTAAAAGGTGTCTGCGCTGGTGGGAGGGGTAGGTGAAGCACTTGGTGCAGTATGGGCAGGTGTACGGCCGTCCATTCGCTGCAGCAGGAGCTGGAGGATGGCTGAGAGTGTGTGTGTGTCGCAGAGCCAGCGACTGGGAATTGGACTGTGTTCGGAGAGGGTCTCTATTGCCAAAAGTTGAAACCCGCCGTGTGTGATTGACGGGGCCTCTCCCTCCCCTGTCATCTCTGGGTCTCCATGGAGATTCCCCAGGTGGGGCTTGAGGCTGAACCTGCCGTGCCTCCGGGCCCTGCACAGAGTTCTGATGGGAGATGTGGTTCTCAGGCTCCTGGTCCAGAAAAGGGAAGGAGCTATCGTCGTCTTCGTTGCTGGTCTCGTCAGAGCCAAAACCCCGTCTGAAGCAGAGTGTGTCTGTGCCGGCGCTGCTGCCAGCTGGACCAGAGCAGTTGGTGCCTTCGGCCTGCAGGTTCTCCAGACCGGACACCCCACCTTTGGTGCCGTCCAGCCCTGGTAACCACTCCCCTGGTTGAGCTAGCCCAGGGGCAGGCCTGGGGGAGCAACGTCCGCTCTGGGAGATGGAGAGGAAAGGGGTGGAGGCTTGATCCCGGACAGATCTGTGATCTGCACCGCCCTGATCCCAGTGAGACACTGCAGGGATTAGGAAGAAGGGACAAGTGGTATGGTCACTACCGTGTAGAATTATAATTAAACAAGCATTTTTTGATTTATACATTAACACATTTTCAGCATTATTATCATTTACACTGTTGTTATAGATTTGTTATATACATATTTTTTTATTTAAATGTTTCCATATTTATTAGTGTTACGTATAGTAGCATAACACAAATATTTAACATACTTATTTCTTACTAAGAAATTATATTCCAGAATACGAGCAACTGTAGTGTATAGATCTAATGTATACCTAATGTTCCTCATAGGGACAAAGTAGTTCTGATCTTACATTTAGCCTTGGCTTGTGTAGCAGACAGGGTATGTATCTTCCTCTGTTCTCCAGCAGCAAGCGTTACCTCTGGGACTTGGACTGCCACAGACCCCCCTGTAGGTTGTGATCCAGCACGCTGTGAGCAATAAGCAACACAGATCTGAAAGACACAGAAAAGCCAAAAGCAAATGTCACTTTATTCAGGCTGCAGATATCATAATAGCTTCTTAACTTCAATTTTTAGGACATCCGACTTTTAAATCATTGAGGACCGGGTCTGACCTCATGTTTTACTGAAGCTCCATCCTGGCCTGTGACCTCTTCTTTCATCCCTCTGAGGCTCTGACTGAGTCTTTCCTCTGGGTCCAAATGAGAAGACAAATCCTTTCCCACATTTAGTCCTGTGTAAGAAAAGTGTGGGTGGTCAGTGCATCAGTTAAGTGACAGGAATGAGAACTTGATTACAATTGGGGCTTATCCCCCTTCAACAATGCAAAGGATAGGGATATTTAGAAGAAGCACCAACATCTTGTCCTTAGGTAAAGTAGTAACACTATAGTGTAAAAAACTCTGTACTCTATAATTGATTATATTTTGTATTAACAATCTTCCAGTTGTTATTTCAGACAAAAGTTGGTATTCCCCTCTGAGGTGTAGTGGAAAAGAAGTATGCATCTTGAAATAGCAAGATAATAACAAGTACCTCCACATTTTCCATCAGTACAGTACTTGATTAACTGTAGTTTACTTAGTTATTTCACCAGCTATACATTAAAAAAAGATGGAATGGTTTGACATACAGACTTGGTTACAAGATGATACCACTCTACCAGTGCACTGTCCACTTTCATTAGCATTTTTCTGACCCAAGTAAGTTTTTATGAAATTCTTAAATACCATGTGAGCTGTATTACCTGATATGTTGGGGGTCTGCTGCCCCGTGCTGCCCTCTCTGTCTCCTGATGACAGCTCCCCTTCCTCGCTCCCTCCAACCTTACGCCTCCTCTCCACTTTCTCCAGCCTGCCTCTGAGGATGGAGATCTCCTCAGTTTTCTGCGCTAGCCCCGCCTGCTGCTCACACAGGCTGCTCTCAAAGATCTTGGCGATCTCGCAGACAGCAGCAGCCAGCAGGGAGTCCATGACGGTGGCCAGCTGAGCGTGGAAAGCATTCCTCACCGTCTTCATTGTGCTTTGTTTCAGGAAGGATGTTTTAATGTCAGTGAGGGATTGACACTAAGGTTGTATTCAATGGTTTGCCTCCAGTGACAGTCGAGGACGATGTGTCTACAGCGATGTGCACTCCTCTACCCTGGAACTATGAACTGCCACACAATGTTGCCATGCTAAGTACCTAGGCCATTTATATTATTAATATATAGCAGCAAGTTGCTTTTATAGTACAATCTGATTGTTATTAAAAATCTGCTGTGCGGCTGTTTTAGATATTTCAATAAAGATGACAATGGTGTCCAGGCTTTATTTGTTGAGCTAACGCTAAAGCAGTAATGACAAACAACGTGGTGCAATGCAGTAAGCCGGTTTGTTTAGTTGATGAGCATTAACACAATTACAATTTAAATAGCTACAAGAAACATGCTGTTGTAACAAGCAATACAGTAAGGAAGCTAACAAGCTAACGTGTAAACAAGGGAGCCAACGAAGCGTAACCAGTGCTAGCCTGTGTATAGTCCAGGTGCTAGTTCAAGCTAGCTAACTGTTTACCGGCAATGGAAACAACCAAAGAAGCTGGTCGACTCTGCAATGTATCTCAACAGAAAGCGACCAAATAGCTTATCTGGCATAAATTAAATCCATGAAACGATGCAGCGACTCGGCGTCCAACTAACTAGCAGGTTGATATCATATCTGTGATGTGATGGTTGCAAGTCTCGCGATAACAAAGATGAGGATTCAGGTACTGGAGAAATCAAAGAGCCAAAATAAATGTCAATTATGTCATATACTGAAAAACACTTAAATTGTTGTGATGAATTCCTGGACTGAAAACAACTCGGCTGCTCCCCTTAGAAAGACCAATATAAAAAATACATTTAGAAACGAGTAAAAATAATAATAATGAAAGTATATCTATGTTATTATGGAGTAATTCATGATACAAGACCATGTGCATGTGTAACAGAGTTGGTGTACAATCCGGGTTAAATTGGAGAATTACGCCATCTGGTGTTACACACGCGTGCCTGCATTACTGTAGCTTTGTTACCGCAATGGATTGTGGGAGATTCTCATGATGTCGGTGGACAAACCATGTATGTTATTATTTTATTAGGACAATAACGTCCTGTTGTGTTTGTTTAGTTTAATGTTAGTCGTTTAATGCTCACAGCAACATGTTTTTTGTGTGATTGGCTATTTGTGTTATATGATTTATTAATGTGATCATCAATAGCTAATTTGAGCTAATAGGCTAACGTGAGCGTGGTGCTATCTCTTCTACAGAACGCAGCTCACGTGTTCTTTGTATGTGTCCATTGAAACGCAGGTATGTGAGTTTTGTACACCAGTTTGTTATGTTTAATGTTTCACATTGTTTATGAAAATACTACCACTATACGATCATTGATGTGTTGTTGATTATTGGACACTTATTTTGTAAAGGAGATTTTGATAGCACGTGAGGATCTGTTGAGAAACGCAGCTCACGTGTTCTTTGTATGTGTCCATTGAAACGCAGGGTAATAAACTGAAGTAATCACCAGCTCTGAGTGGTCTGTTGCCGAGGGGACACTACACCGGGGTTACACATGCATACAATTAAATGTACTTCGTAACCCCTTATGGTATTTTATTGTTCTGTTGTTTTTTTATGTGTGAGCCTTGTCCTTGTATCGCTGTCTTTCATGTTGTCTTTGAAAATATACACTAAAATCTAAATAAAAAGTTCAGTGACGAAGTAGTACAACTACCTCGTTGTTATTGCCAAAAAAATATGCAAGTCAAGGTATACAGTAAATATTTTAATGGGTTATTGCTGACAATGGTCATAGATAGCAACACTTGTAATAACTTTAAGAACATAAAAAGCAATAGTCGTGTAAGATCTCCCACCATGTCAATATTAACAATGAATACAACACAGTTACAAATGTTAAATATATATAAAAATCGTTGTTTTTTCCGGACTCAAGCACGGGATAAAATATCTACATAACGTTGAAGTCTTCACCAGTGTAATCTTCTTACATATCTGTCAGGTAACAAGAAAGATTTAAAATGTGTCCTTCAAATTCATTTAAAAATTGCAACGCTGAGTGCAAAGGTTTTGTCTAAACAACTAAAAACATTACCAGAAACTATTGAGGCAATAAGAGTGTTTAAACAATGTATTTTCCAATTATGCTTGAACTTCATACAACACAACAAAATCGCGAATAAGGCACTCAGTAAAAAATACTTAAAAATACACATTGAACCAAACTTGGTGAGATCTTTTTTTGCTCTTTAGTATGACATCACACAATGTGACAATACAATTGTGATGGTGAATACCAACATGTTAGTATGAGTTATATAGTGATCGTATCACTCTCAAAAACAAAACCTACAAAAGATTAAATGCAGGTCATCCTTGATCATGAATGACAACATCCAGCATTTCAATGTCCACAGACAGGTGATGCTAACTTTATACTGGCGTATTATGTAACCGCTCCATATGGTTCCTGAGGCATGCTCTATGGACGAAACTTTTCCCACAAACCTCACAGGAACAACTATGATCTTTCCCACAGATCAAGACATGCTTATTGTACCTATCCATTGAGGGAAACGTTTTCATGCACTTTGCACACTTGCGTCTCCTCCTCAAACACATTTTCCCGTGCCTGCTTAGCTGTGCTCTATTACTAAACCTTTCAGAACAACCTTTACATTGAATGGGCATCTCTCCTGTGTGGGTGGGAAAGTGCTCAATCAGCCCGTGTGTGTCTGTAAAGGGCTTCAGGCACAACCGGCAGATGAAGCCCTCAGGGGAGCGTGTGCCCATTGTTTCCCATATTAAACTTGGGCTTGTGTCTGGAATGTTATCCCTCTGAACATCTTCATAGTTGTTTGCATGACTTTTTTCTTTTTTTGGAGACTTCAAATCCACACAAATATCGTCCATATTCTCCAAAGGCATGGTCCATGCATTGCTTTCATTTGTCTCACTGGAAATGTTTTGTTCTTTGTGCATTTTCCGTTTGTGTTGTCTGAGTGCCTTTTTACTCTGGAATGGCTTCGAACACATGCTGCAAGGGATTTTTTTTTCACCAGCATGAACACACAAATGCTCCTCTAGATTCAAACTAGTACGACATGTCTTGTTGCAGTGTACACAGGTTAGCTTTTTGTTGCCCTTATTATTCTGAGTAGAAGATTCACTGGGCCTGCTAGAGGAAGCTGTGTTTTCTTTTTTAATGATGACCTGTTGTGCAGTCAGGTTTTCTTCACCTAAAGACTCAGGTTTTGGAGGGTTAGTGGATCGAGCTTTTTTTGCCAACAACTTCTTGAGTTTTATGCAGGATGGTTTATGCAACTTTAGAGCAATTGGAGATGGGAACTCTCTTTTGCAACCTTTGCATTTCTTGTGTGATCGTATATGCACACTTCGGCCAAACATTGTGTCAAATGCCTTCTTACAATACCCGCAGGAGTACTTTTTTTCCCCGCCGTTTTTTACAATCTTTTTTTCTGTAGACTCAATTGTTTTTTTATTTTCTTCTCCTTTGCTCTTCTTTGTATGTTTTTGCTTTTTTCCTTTTACATTTCCCCCCCCTTTTCCTAGACCTGTACCGATTGTTGTGTCAGTATGCACCTGCTTTATGCCTGAGAGCAATTGTTTTATGTCGTTTCTCAGTGTTGAATGTTGAGTTCCTTGGTCATGTGTTGGTATGGTTTTGTCCTGCGTGGTTCTCTTATTTATTAAGGTAACTGTAAAAAGAAAATAGTCAACTGAATGAAAAAGCAGAGATGACACGATTACACCACAATAAAAAAGTGGAAGAAAAGAGAATTGGTAATGCCAGCATTTGAAAGCAGATACAATTTACAGCAACACATTTTATTAGAATCATTGTCCTAGAAGCTAGAAGGTATAAAGCTAGAGGGCGGATAAACTTTAACTTGCACATGATTTTTGTAAACCAACTACCATCAATGTATGGCTTCGCAAATTTACAAAGAAACAATTCCTATTTACAAAGAGAGCCTTTGAAATCATGAAATGGGTATCAGTGAATGTAACATCTAAATTCTGACAAGTATAATTTACAGCACAAATGAATAAAATGACACAAACCTCTCCTGGATCTCCTGACACCCTTTGCTCGCTGGTTGGAGTCAATGTCACGCTGATAAACCTAAAACAAAGATAAGTAGTATTTTGTTGGTTATATCTTCAGGGATTAACAATGCAAAAAAAAAGTTCAAAATAATTAGGAACATGCAGAGCTATGTCTTCAAACGCAGCAAGTAAAGATTAACTTTGAATGTTTTGAGACTTTCAATACCTTTGTGAATATTGTAGCTCTTTATAAAACATGTGATAACTGTGGTATAGAATTTTCTATATACCCATTTAGTTTTAGTTCTAGTCTTCTTATTTATTCCCTCTCCTCCTCTCTAGGCCATAGAGCTTTAACATTCTTTCTCCACAGCTGTGTATTGGTATGACCCTGGTAGTTGATTCAGCAAGCCCAAAACATTCATAAAACAATCTCTTCTTTAGATAATAACAGGACCAAGCACCGTGTCAGAGAGCAGGAAGGACATCCAGGAGTGGAGTGCACCAGCTAGGCGTAAGAAAGTAGGTCTTAACTCTAACGTCGGGCTTAGCTACGTCCGACTTAGTGATTCAAATTTACACAGAGTGCACCAAGCCTGACTAGTCTCGGTCGTAGCTGCGCCTGGTCTTAAGATGCTCGTCCACGTGAATACACGCAAAACAGTTTGTTGCCAAGCAACACACGTCTACATAATTTAACACTCGAACTCCTCCATTCAGAGCAAGCTAAGACTTGGATAACGAAGTAATGGATAACGGAAACCAAAAGAAGTGAAATATGACGCCCACACCCCGAAAAAGAAAGAGGTATTTTACAGATTTTTTTAAAATCTCAATTTCATGCTAGTTCTCCAAATGTTGTTATTTAATGTTCTTGTGTGTTTTTTTAATAAAATAGGCTACAAAACGGCCTAATGAAAATATGTGGTCACAATGGGAGCTTATTGAAATGCAATTGCAAAAAACAGCGTTACAAATATACAGGGCTATAGGTTGTTTATTATGTGATGGCGGGTAAGTCGTCCACCGATATCTTCATGGATGCCAGGAGGATTTTGCTGCTTCTTCTTGTGTTGGTAAGTGAATATAATTCCTAAGGCGGCGCTGGAGAGCCAAGGAAACTTGTCTAATAGCCCGACATGCATTTGTGCGATGAACATTAATCATGTCTCCCACAGTATTAAAGTAAAATCTGAGCGCAATCAGCACCTACAAGGTTGGGGAGAGTGCAGCGTTTCTGTCTGATCCATTCTGTTGTTGAGGGGAGATCTCCTCGATTAAATCAAAAAGGGCTTGTCTGCCGAAACGAAATCTCTATCAGTTCACTGAATAGATGTCCAGTGGGTTTGTTCGATCAAGGATGACTCTCTTCTTAATGCCCTTTTGTTGTTAAACCTGTAAACAAGACGCACTGCCATAGTTATTTTCCTTCTTGCCTGTTTTACTATGGATACTAGTCTGTCTTTCCGATTTACGCCTGCTCCATACTAGGCGTAAAAGTTACACCCGGGCGCAACGCATACAGGGCTTAAGTCTAAGTGGTGCACAAGTCATAACTTTAGTTTGGTCTTAACCTTCGGTTCTACATCGGACGTAGAGTTACGCCCAGCTGGTGCACTCCACTCCTGGAGTCTATCTTATCAGGTGGATTGCTCCCTGGAGCCGATCATTCTATGCTAGGGGCGAAGCTGGCTTTGACTGGTTATCGAATGCTGATTATTATCTTAGGAATAGTTCAATATTGAGGAGAGCATGAGGAATTCCGAGTTAGTTGGGCAGAGGATGTGTCATTATATGTATATTTGTAAATATGTCAATTCTCTGGCCGTAGCTTCCAATAAATCTCCAGTGTCTGACATCAACTCAAAGCTCTTCTGTGTGCTCCTTGTGTTCTTTGCTCCAATCATTTCATTACATATTGGATGTATCCAATGTTTACCATAGAATCTGCACAGAAGCTTTTTTATAAGCTTGGCTACCGTAAAAAAGGAAAATATTAAAAAGGAGTTCCTAAGTAAATGTTGTGTTGCTGGCTGTAAGATTTAGAAACATGTTATCAATATCTGATCCAGATGTGGTGTTAGATTCTTGTTTGATCAATCAAAATCCACACTGAACAACAACAGTGTCTGCGGACAACAGTTAGCCTATTTCCTTCCTCAACATAACTTTTTCAGGTTGTCTTTTTTTTTAAAATGGTTCCCAATTGTAAATGTAAATACTCCCCCCTCCAGATCTGCCCTTCAGTTACACACCTCCTGCTTGATGGAAATCTGCGACAGAGGAATGGACAGCCGGCGCAGTCTTACGCTGGGACATGCATATTCTTTCTTGGTTACGGTCTCACAGGCCAGGGGAGCACACCAGTCATCAGGTACTGCACAAAAACACGTATAAGACAAATATGGTTAGAATATGCCATGCAATATTGTGATTACTAAGTACATGCAAAAGATAAAAGGCTTTTCCTTCCCTCACATAAACTTGCAACCTATACTCGGTACTGTACTTAAAGTTTAATGCAGTGTTTCCCCTATATACAAATAGCAGCGCCACCTTTACTGTATGTTCAATAAAAGGTGTATTTTGCTAAGTCTTGAGACATTGCCACTGTATGTACTAGGCCTCAAGAGCCTTTCTTGTGCTGGCAGACACATAGAAACATATTGGCGGGGCGCACTTCGCACACACTAAAAAAATCCACGCGCTCCACGCTCACATTTTGCCGGGCCCGCGTGCCTTAGCAGCGCTACTATGACTCCATCCTAGGGGAAACACTGTAATGCCTTTCACTCTGCAATGGTAACCCTCCAAAAATATATTGAATACAAAAATGTCTCTTTTACAGTAGAAAGCAGCCTATTTTGGCAAGTTATTCACCTCATTTGAACACATTACCTTCAAAGTGAATCTCAGGAACATCATCTGTTGGTTTAGGGGCGTTCACAACATCTTCAGTTCCTCCTTTCTTCACCTCTGTTCCTCTGCTGCCAATTTCAGTCAACCTGATCTCTGCTCTCTGCAACTTCATTTTAAGTTGAGCAACTTCCTCTCCTTTATGCCCCAGCTCCATCTGATACTCATGTAGACTGTTCTCAAAGATCATCATTATTTCAAACACAGCTCTCCTCAGGGTGGAGTCCATGCTCGTGGTCAGCTGGGCTCTGAACCCTCTTATCAGGTCAGACATCTTTGAAGAAAGCTGGAAACAGGCTACAGATGTCCTAGATCCTTGAGTGATTCTGTACTGCTCCTTTTACACTCCCCCTAAAACGGATATACAAGAGATCAGGTTACAATTTAAAAATGTTATGAAATTGAACAACCCATACATTTGTGTTTACATGTTACATGTTTGCACATGGCAGAAATGTTCCTTTGGTTTGAATGTATACAAATGTTACTAAAAAGGGTACAGTAAAACACAACCAAACAGGACACATTAGAATACATTTCTATAAAAACAATATACATTTGGTCAGTTTAGCATGGTGTATATTTGCGGGCTCTGGGCTCTAAAACCCAGGGGAAGAAATTCTTCCTTTCACAGCAACACAACTGTCTCATAGCTTTGAAGTAGGGATGGGAATTTGAAAGCAAATCTATATTCAAATATTCGACCCCCCAAAAAATGGTTAACCGGTTAACCGAAATGTACATATCCTATAAAAAAAAAAATTGGGTAAAAAAAAAAAAAAAAAGAATAATTAGAATTCATTTTTTTCAATAATTTTTGGAAATAAATACATACATGTTCTAATAAGTGTAGAAACCAAGTCGAATTTGTAAAAAGTATTGAACTGGTGATCACAGTTTGACATCTATAGGCCTACAGCAGGGGGCAATGCTGGTAGATCGCGAGTCATTCATAAAAATAAATAAATCCAGCTCCGTTAAAATAAACATGATCCCTCCTCCCTTGGCCTCCCTGCCTAGTACCCCTCACTGCAGTGCGCAGTACCTCAAGCCCCTCCTTCTCAACCTTTGAGGCACGTGACTAACGGCCCCTCCTTCTCAACCTAAGCCCCTCCTTCTCAACATTTGAGGCATGTGACTATCGGCCCCTCCTTCTCAACCTTTGAGGCACGTGACTAACGGCCCCTCCTTCTCAACCTTTGAGGCACGTGACATCCTGTTTCCGGTAGCAGTTCTGTTCTGTTAATCATAGCGTCAGAGTCATGGATGTATAATAAGAACTGGATACAGCGTGGAAGGCGGGGCCTCATTCATTCCAATGAGAGCTGGGCTGCTTCTCAGGTCGATTAAATGAAATCCTTGCTTCCCTCACTTGCGTCGTTTCCCTGCGTTTAGTCCCTCCCACCAGTGAAGCATGGAGGGATGCAAGGAAACCACGAGAAGCAGGGAAATGAGTTTTAAGAGCAATGGGACGTCCTTTCCTCCGGAGCGTCACGTGAAGCGACGTCCGTTTGTGATGACGCTGCACAGCTGATCGTCTGACAGCAGCTCTGTCCGTTATTTCCACACACCCCCCCGCCTCTGTTAGCACACATTTACTGACACAAACATTTGTATCATCTGTTGTAGACCCCAATAAATAAAATAAAATAAGAACTAATTCTCAAAAAAGATAAACGCCATTCTTAAAATGTATAAACGAACAATAGTTTGATTAATATTGATTAGAGTGCACAATAGAAATAAAATAATTGAGAGAAGAAAAAGAGATATGTTATCTATCAAAACCCAGTTAGATTAACATTCATTGGATTGCACACTTTGTGTGTTTGTGTGGATATGTAGCATATTAACATTTTAATAGCACTTAATGACTGAATGGAAATGACAATAAATGAAAATGTAAAACGAAAAAAGCGATCATGAAAATGTTTCCAAAAAATGAATTAAATGATTTTTGACCACTTTGTTGTTCAGATATAGCACATATTTGTAACTAAATGAAACAGGAATTGAAACAAAACACGGTATAAACTGAGGAGTGACTCCCGTGAGGTTCATGTATTTTCTTCACTCTGCTCTCATGTCAAGAAGCATCAGATCAGCTCATGCACTGCCTCGTCCAATCAGTGAGCGATACACAGTAAGGGGGCGGGGTGAGTATCTGAGGATTTCATCGGAGGATGGTCTGGTGGTTCCTCGGTTATCGCTCCTCCATGTTCGCTCCTCGCTCCTCGATCCTCGGTCCTCCGGCAGAAATAAGAACCATGGGACGGTACTCAAGATGGCGCAGGCAAATCAACTTCCGGTGAGACCGAGGACCGAGGAGCGAGGAAATGAAAATAGTCGACCTGAGAAGCAGCCCTGCTCATTAGCGCATGATGATAAAATGGCCCACCTTTTGAGAGAGTGAAACGTCACAGATTACCCAGCATGCCTGAGAAGTACCCGTATGTGCGCTCATAGAGCATGCGCAACTTTAACCAAAATGCTCGTTCACATCAAGCACGTCAATTTGCGTACACGTAACAGCACCGCGCGTTCATGACAGCATGGTAATGGATTTTTGTTATCATGGATTTGATATGAACGAGGCGGCAGTTAGCAGCTAGCGGCTAGCTAGTAATGATGCTAATGTACACATCAATCGTTATGTACTTATATTACGCTGTAACAGGATCTAGTGATATCCAACAGAGCTTCATTTAGCATGAAATAATGATTGCACTGTATATATATATATTTATATACAGTGCAATAAGCTTCTTAGTGCAATACGAAGCTACAGGGACGTTAATAATGTCGGTAATATTAACTTTATTTAATACAACATTTACGGTACAAGATGTAATCATACAGCCCATGTAGTATGATAATGAATTACAGCAAACATGTGCAATATATCCATTATTACAGCTCCGTGGGATGGCAGTAAGACGATATGGGTCCGTTCTTATTGTGCATCCATGGGTAAAGATAAACGCAACTCACATTGGTTTCTCAAACAGCATCTCTGTAAACTACGTGTATTCACTGAATTTCACTCTCTGCCTTTAACGGCTCATTGTAGCTCCAATAGCTTCAGCCCCCACCCTCCCTGTGAGCACAGTGTGCTCTGATTGGTCGGGACACGTAACATTAACGTGCCGGGCGGCGCGGTCCCGTGGGCTAGATGCGCGTTCATAATGCAGAGGGAAATAACTCTCAGAATAACGTTATTAGCACATTATTACAACTTGAGGAACGAATGTTTTTAATAAGGGCTATACAAGTGTTCATACTGGGTAGTTTATTTAGTTTAAAAAAAATTATCCAACGAGTTACAGACCACTCTTTCCCCATGTAAGTCAATGGGAAAAAGTGTTTCCGGGCCTGGCAAACAAACGGAAGTGTAGTACCGCCGTTTGGCCAGCACGAATATTTTCATCTGAGTCCGGCGCACTTCCTGGGGGCTTGGTCAGAGTACGATGGAGGTGTGAGTGTTAAACATGTAACCTGTCTTTGTCAAATATATTTCAGGATGAAGAGGTTCCACAAAAGAAGCAGGCCATAATTTGAATGTGTCATGAGTGAGCGCTGCTGGGGGGGAACTGTTACAATCTGTATTAGGTTCACTAATGCCTCAAAATGTAATAGTTGTCAGAATCTGTCTGTGTTTTATTTTGTCCTGTCCCTGTCTCTGTGTTCAATAAAATTGAAAGTCCTGAATTCAAAGTGTTTCTTAAGTAAAAGAGTATAAGTATTATCAGCTAAATGTACTCGAAGTATCAAAAGTAGAAGTACATGCGGAATGGCTCTGTTCACAGTATTATACTACCATTGATATTATCCTGTCAATTCTATCAATTTGTCAATACGATGGCACTTTTTTAATATATTTTTTTAAATACTGGTAGGAAATAATGTGATATGATTTCATTTATATCACATGTTTTTCAGTAAAAAGTGAGTAAATATACAATATTGCCTCTGAAATTCAAATTAAAAAGTTAAAAAACAAATGAAGGCCCTTTCTTGAAGTCATAACTGAAATAATTGATGCAATTAACATGCAAATAGACATTAAAATATGCTTTGAAGGCTGTTAATGTGTTTAATTTGAGTTTTACATTTTGAAATGCCGTTGCCATGGCGACAGATCACTCGCCATCATCATTGGTATCATTATATATATATATATATATTAATATGTTAAAATAGTTAATACTCTGACGCTATGAATAACAGAACATAACTGTGAAGCTCGTCACGTGTCTCAAAGGTATATATATATATATTTATATTAATATGTTAAAATAGTTAATACTCTGACGCTATGATTAACAGAACAGAACTGTGAAGCTCGTCACGTGCCTCAAAGGTTGAGAAGGAGGGGCCGTTAGTCACGTGCCTCAAAGGTTGAGAAGGAGGGGCCGTTAGTCAGGAGGGGCCGTTAGTCACATGCCTCAAAGGTTGAGAAGGAGGGGCCGTTAGTCACGTGCCTCAAAGGTTGAGAAGGAGGGGCCGTTAGTCAGTAGGGGCCGTTAGTCACGTGCCTCAAAGGTTGAGAAGGAGGGGCTTAGGTTGAGAAGGAGGGGCCGTTAGTCACGTGTCTCAAAGGTTGAGAAGGAGGGGCTTGAGGTACTGCACACTGCAGTGAGGGGTACTACGCTTCTCGCCGTGCCTGCCCTGCAGTCCCGCCCCTCTCAAGTATGGCGTTATATTTGTGCCTCTATCCTGAGTACGCAATGAAACATGTTGAGCATAGAAAATGCGATTGAGCGCGCACTTGAACATTTTTGAGCACAGAGAAATATATTTTCTCTCATAAAACTCCTGCTCCGTGCGCAAGCAGACCGCTGCACGCGCTCTCTCTCCCCCGCTCGCTCGACCTCTCCAGCCTGTGCGCGCTCAGCTTTGCCTGCGCTCGCTCAAGTTGTCACAGCGTTACAAATGTGCCACAAAACCAACCAATCGGAGAACTCGAAAAGGTCAATTCTGATTGGCTGGTCCAGCGCCATGTAGAGAGAAGAGTTGCTACAGCGGAAGTCCAAAATGCTTGATCGTCACGTGATTCAGAGAGACTCGGAAAGTTCCCGGAAGTTCGTGGCGGGCCATTTGAATCACGATTTGAATGCATTAATAACAGGATAGAAATGCAATTTTTGGTAATTAGTGGTCAATAAAGGTTTTGATTTGCAATATTTATACAACATATCGATATGTGTATGTAGTTACATCAATGTGTGTGTGTTTTTTTTTTTTAATGTGCTAATATTTGAGGATTAAGATAAAATAAGAAGTAGCCTACTTTATTGATACCAATTGGGGAAATGTTTACGCTGCAGTAGCAAAAGACAAGGAGGCATTGT